TACTGAGATACTACTTAACTATCAGCCAGATGGGTGAGGCTGTGTATTGCAACAGAACAGTAAAATATGCTGTAATTTAGAGTTTTTACTTAAGATACTACTTAACTATCAGCCAGATGGGTGAGGCTGTGTATTGCAACAGAACAGTAAAATATGCTGTAATTTAGAATTTCTTCTCGTGCACCTCCTCACACCCATACCCCATTTATCATCGTTCTAGACAAAGTTGTACCTATAAAGACAGGTTTCCAAAAACGTAATGAAACTGGTAATTATGTAACGGCAGACTTATATACTTTTATAAATTGTGATGAACTGTTTATTCACAAAAAAAAAGTCAAATCAATAGTGTTTAAAATTCTAAAAAATATATATATATATAATATTTACATTCAATCTTTCACGTTTCATTGTTCCTAAAATTATGAGGTTAGCCAGATTCTAAACTTTATAGTTTTTAATGTCATGATATTTTCTATTATATTATCATCCATATTTCTTTGAAAACCTAATTTTGAAATTGCACGGTCTAATCCTTAGGCGTAATTTACAGGATGGGTGAGGGGGGGGACAGGTCTCCTCGTTTTTCATTAAAGGGGCTTATCCCTTTCATATTTTAACACCAATAATATTGAGTCATAGGGTGTGAACTTGCAAATAATATTCAACCATCTTCCATCCTTCTCCCCTTTTCCTTTGAAACTAAAATTACTCTTTCTGATCTAGTCCTCTAGCGGAGAATGCCAATAGGTAGAAGTAGTTTGCCTGGAGGATAATGAGATTCTCCTCACACAAGTAGCCTACCAGACGTAGGACAGTTCTAGTTATTTCTCCTCACACAAGTAGCCTACCAGACGTAGGACACTTCTAGTTATTTGTAGATTATACAGTTTATAGAAGCATCGAATAATGTTGATCTTAAACATTGTTTGTCACACAAACCTTTCATGTGATAAATACGTGAAAGAAAGATTATTGTTGCTATATCTTATTACAATCAACTACTCCAAGCTTGAGAATCAAAGCTGGTTTGTTTTACGAACATCAGGCGATCCCTTTCTAGTAATCTGCTGAGTATCGTTTTATTGTTTTCATAACATACCAACTGTAAGTTATTATTGCACACTATCGTTCAAACTGGTTTTTAATGGACATGTTAGTTACGGGTAAACGTTTAATAGCATGATGGATACTTTTTGAAATATTAAATTAATGTCCCTTTTCTTACTGGCAGTTCGAAAAATGGTAAGCCTATGTAAAATTCTAAAGACAAAATAGAAGCAAAAGAATGCGGTTCATTTTAACTTTTGAAATTACGCGTTTAATCCTTCTCATTGGATGTTTACAACAGATAAAACTTGATTAACAAGTAAAAATATAAATTGTAAAACGTTTAAATGCTTAGATGTTGTAAGATAGAATTGGAATTTTAAGAAAAGCAGAATGCTTTAAATAGTGCAATAACAGAGCTTGTTGTCATGTTACTTCCTCGATGGCGCTATCATTTCAAATGTCAGCATATTTTTTATAGCTATGTTGGTAGACAGAAGTTGTACGAAGACCAGTATTGCATGCGCTAAAAACTGAATTTCCGTATTAGTAAGTGCTGTAAGTAAGAACAATTATTGCTTATTTAAGACGCATGTTATTAAGTTCATAACAGTTTGCAACGCATTTCTAATGTATATTGTTTATTACAGAATTAAATGGGTTAGTCTCTTCTCTTAAGATCTTACTTTCTAATTTGCGTTATTTGTTTATTTTTCTTTATGTTTGTTCAGTTGCTTAGTAATTCGCTCGTTTATTCGTGAGGGCCTGGCACAGCCTGTGGTTAGAGCATTCGATTCGCAACTTGCCAGTTGCGGTTTCGATTCCCATCACCGAACATCCTCGTCCTTTCAGCTGTGGGGGCGTTCTAATGTGACAGTCAATCCCACTTTTCGTTGATAAAGAGCAGTTTAAGAGTTTGCGGTGGGTGGTGTTGAATAACTGCTGTCCCTCTAGTCTATTACCCTTGAACTAGGGATGGCTCGCGCAGATAGCTCTCGAGCAATTTTATGCGCAATTCGACTAACAGACAAACGTTTCACTACATAACCAAAAACGTGAGAATAAAAATACAGGAGGTATCATGGCATTTGATGTTTGATTTCACCTAGGTATTAATTCTACTTTCACAGAAGAAGAAAAAAGATCTGCTGACCCTATCTCGATCGTTTTCCTGTGCAAGACATAAGTTTTAAATACTATTCGAGAAGAGTAACAGAGATATGTAGGCTTAAGTAAGGGCATTCTGGTTCCCACCTCTGAAATATAAGGATTTAGTTGTTTTAATATCTTTAATTCCTTATACATTCTGACTCTTACTGACATGGAAATATGGGAGTGTTTTTTTTTAGACAGGCAGGGCAATTATACTACCCAAAAACTAATTTTTCTGCCTCCATCCAACAAATAATAATATTCTTGAAACACTACTAGAGACTTTGATCGGCTTTATTCAGCTACAAGTATGATGTAGAGTTTCTAACGGCAATTGAAAAACATAACTGTTCGCAGAAGTTAACGAATTACTGGTTTTTAGACTCAGCTGTTACATCTTTTGTTTTACCACAAATCTCCAGTGCTCACGTGGCAAATACAATTTTCATTTTGAGATATGGGAAACTTTAATTCATCCTCAATATTCTTTTGTAGTCAATACCTCGATATCAATGCGTTACTACTTTGTTGTTCTATAGTATGCTATAATCTAGAACATAGGAACATATGGAATATACTCGACCTCTAGTGTAGAATGCTCCAAACCCATTTAATGGATAGATTTTCAAGATTATGTGGCATAGAAACTGATTTCCTGAATTCAGTTGAACCGCCTTAATATATATATTCTAAACGTTTTAATGCACTTTACAGCGAATTAATGTAGCTGTTAATAGTCCTAAGAAGTGAGTGTTAAGCCTATTTTGTTTCGATGTAAGCTCAGACAAGTGGTTCATTAGGCTTAACTCAGTTATCTATATTTTAAAGTATTTTCTATCAATTTATTTGTTAATATTTTTTATTGTGTTATATTTAATTTTAAATACATATAGGAATACTAAAAGTTTATGTCAAGTGAAATATAACTTGCTACTTTTAATACCTAGGGCTCAAGATGGACATTGCAAGCTACCCGAATGAATGGAGAAGTGGTAATGATTGATTTGTTTTTAGTTTTACATTTCCTTAATGAATACAGAAAGTTTCATGTATAAAAATAAAATTCCATGGTGTACAACAGCAAAAGTTTCGAAGCATAAACGTCTTTTGCAGTAGCAAGATTTAGGTATTTAAAAATTTCTAATATAAGGTATATCAAAATAACCGCAAATAAGCAAAACAGTAATATAAAAATACATCTAAATATTATGATTATATATATATATATATATATATATATA